GTGGTGTATTTGTAATCTATCCTAAGTTTTTCAATTAAAACAGGTAACCTATTTATGTTAATTTATCATCCCAAAAATTTGTTTCATAAATCAAATACATACGATATCATATTGAAATATATAATCATAATCACAATACAAAACAAAACAGAACTTAAATCATTGAAGTGACAAACAAAACATAGAGTCAATGGATCCATGACTAAACAAATTCAATGAATCTTGTATGAGACCCTAGAGGTAGAAGGGCCCGCTGCTCGTGGGCGACCTGAAGCCCGGGGTGGGCCCGACCCGTTTAGGCTTGTTTGGGCCTGGGTCCAGCCCGAGACCTTGGGCCTGGGCCATCATTTTGAAGTCGGCTCAGCCCATGGCTCGATCCATCTGCCCGCTTAAGGCCCATTCAAGACCCGGCCTGAGGTTTGGCCCGCCCACCCAAGCCCAAGCCCAGGCCTAGGCTCACCGGCCCACCCAAGACCCGAATACTCCCTGAGCCTTAGCCTGGGCTTAATTTTCTGACCCATGGCCCAGACCGAATTTTGACGAGAGATCGCGAGGCTCAACACGAGCCGAGCTAGGCCAAATTTACACCCTTACCCAGAGGTAATTCTTACAGACCTTAGAGGTGCTCCTATAATAGTGTAACACTTAATTTCATACAATACTTTATTTTTTGATTATAGGGATATTCAATCACGTATGGGGCCCAAGAGGGAACTTGTACAGACCCTAAATGTAGCTCCTATCGTTGTGTAGCACATAGTTCTATATAACACTTGGTTCCCAATCAAAGAGTCACTAGAATAACTAATCAGAGGGCCACTAGAGAGTGACTTTCAAAGGATATTAAATTCCCTCAAAGGTGCGGGACCTCTGTCATGCTCCAGATTTATAAGATCATAACCCATCAGAATAAAGATGTAAATTCAACAACAAATGAAGAGATATAGAATAAGATAGCAAGAAAATCTAGTGAATGAACAATATAGTCAAGAAACTATGAAATGAAAACTATAAACATGATCTCTAGATATCGTATTTAATCTATGATATAGAATCTTGAAATGCATCTTATATTCATTATTCATCACCTCTAAATGACATGAATATATATATATTTTTTAAAACAGCAAAAAGAAACTTTATTGATAACAATCAAGCAAATGTACAATGACATCAATCAATAAAGAAAGTGGGTGCAAAAAACATAATAGAAAAACTATAATGATCTCAACTAGGTTGGCACCGAAGAACCAACGCAATCATCTGCTAGCACCATACCTAGTTGGTGAGTAACCAACCAAACAACAACACCAATCCATACATCCAATCAGTTCTACAAACTAAAACAAGTGTACTGGAATGATAGCAACAGTAGCAGCAAAATAAGATATTAATAATCCTTGCACCTTTGAGTATGGTAGGGTGAGGATTGTTACATCTACATTGGAGGTTATTAATACAGTAGTGTTTTTGGAGTGCAATGAATGCAAGTTTCCTGTTCAAGTTTGTGAAGATTACCCACTGTTTGAGTTGTCCAAAAATTGCAGAAGGGAGGTGAGTTCTGAGTTTATTGCCTCAAATTCTCTTAGTGTTGTCTGTGAATAGAAGTTAATCAATGGTAATGGTAGCAAGGAAGATGAGGACGATGGGTTTGATAGTTTTAAGGAGATGGCAAATGATTTTACGGATGTGGCAGATAATGGTGTGGTGGTGGCGAATACAGTAAAGAACATGGTGGACAGAGAGCAAGTGCAAGTGGATGGAGTTAATGGGGGGTTGGCAGGTCTGGTGGTCAATGCAATAGTGTATGGTCCAGGAAGTATACAACGTAATGAAGGTGGTAATGTGGAAGGTCTGGAGTTGGTGGTGAGCTCAAGGAATGAGGCACCAGTTGAATTTCAAAATGAGATGGGTTGTGTTTGCTCACTTGGATTTGTAAGAAGTATTTGTGAGCCTGAATGTGTTGGGCCCAATATTAATCTCCAAGTCATTTTAAGTGGAATTCAATCTGGGCCAGTAGTTGCAGGGCCCATTGGGGTAGATTCAAATTTAAGTGAAAGTGCAGCCCAATATCAAATTGGTCCATCTCTTTGTCCAAAACCAATCCTAGCTCAAAGAAAGGATAAGGATATTGCGGCTAGGAGGGGTGCGACTGATAATAAGGGAAAGAAGCAAGGTCCTCAATTGAGAAGAAGAGTAAAGCATAATCGAAGTCTTATGCTACAAAAACATGTTCTGCCCAGTCCAAGTCTCAGAACTGGTGCTATTTTTCGAGCTACTGCAGTGGCAATTTCAGCTTCAATTTCACAAAGTAATGCTTCAAGAAGGAGGAGGAAGATTTGAGAGGAGGCTCTTGCTACTTTGCAAGTAGGGAAGGTTCTTGGGCTAGACTGTAAAGATAAGTAGCATGAGGTTGTCAACCGAATTGTTATGCTCAAACTGAAGGATAGGGAGAGGGTGGGGGATGCTGGGGGGGCTGCCTAGGTTGTTTGGCAGACTTTGGGGGTCAAGTGAGTGTCTGATATTTATAGATGAAGATAATAACATGGAATGTTAGAGGATTGGGAAAATCAGAGAAGAGAAGGAGCATTAAGAAGCTAGTTAATAACCGAAAGATAAAGGTGTTGCTACTTCAGGAAACCAAGAAAAATAGTGTTGATGTTGGGTTCATTAAGTCTTTGTGGCCAGCAGAGGATGTGGACTTTTTGGAGGTGGGTACTGATGGCAGTGCAGGTGGTCTTCTCTGCTTGTGGAATCCTAAGGTATTTGAACTTAAAGAATGTTGTTGCAACATAAGTTTTATTTTGATGGCAGGAATACTTAATCACTCTTTTGAATGTGTAGTTGTTAATGTGTATGCACCAAATGATGTTAGTGGCCGGAGGATTTTATGGAAATCATTGTCCAAATTCAGAGTAGCCTTTTCAAGTCCTTGGTGTATTGGGGGTGACTTCAATGAGATTAGGTTTATGAGTGAGAGGAAATGGTGCATAAGAAGAGATTGGGAGATGACGGACTTTAATGATTTTATTGACACTATGGAGTTGCTGGACTTGCCAATGTTAGGAAGATCATTTACATGGTGCAATGATGTGGAGGGTGAGAGGTGGAGTAGGTTAGATAGATTTCTTTTAGACATTGGCTAGCTCGAGAAATTCTCCTTTAAGCAGTGGGGATTAAATAGAAGCATTTCTGACCACTGTTTGGTTATCATTATGACTGATGAGAGGGATTGGGGTCCAAAACCATTTAGGTGTATCAATGCTTGGAGCTTACATCCAAATCTTATGGTTGCAGTTAAGACTGCATGGGATAGTTGTCAGGTAAGTGGGTGGGCTAGTTATAGGATTATGAAAAAGTTGGGGCATTTGCGAGGTCAATTACGAAGATGAAATAGTGAACTGTTTGGTAATGTGGATGAAAAACTGAAAAAAAAGCTGAGGATGAATTGCATGAGTGGGACTTAAAGGCTGAGTCTAGAGATTTGCAGGAGTTTGACAAAAGTCTTAGAAGAGAGGTGCAAAGTTCAGTTTGGGAGACTTGAAAAGGTAAAAAATAGAACACGTGGCAGCAAAAATCCAGGTATCTTTGGGTTGAAAATGGTGATAAGAACTCAAGGTTTTTTCGTATGATGGCTAGCAGAAGACAGAGGAAAAATATGCTTGATTCTGTGTTAGTGAATGGGTCTTTGGTGGTTCGGCTAGGTAGGATTAAGCAGGCAGTGGTGAATTTTTTCGAGAAGCTGTTTTCAGAGGAGTGGGAGAATAGGCCTACATTAGTTAGTGTATGTGCTAAAATAGGTGAACAAGAAGCAGCTATGTTGGAATTTGAATTTACAGAGGAAGAAATCTGGGTTGCTGTGAAGGAGTGTGATGGGAATAAGGCTCCTGGGCCTGACGGGTTCAATCTATCTTGTTTCCAGAGGTGTTGGTCCATAATGAAGGATGAGGTTATTCAGGTGTTGAAGGAATTCCATTTAAATGGGAAGCTGGCTAGAGGTGTAAATAGTTCGTTTATTTCACTCATTCCAAAGAAGGATTGTCATGTTGGGTTGTCTGACTTCAAGCCTATAAGTTTGGTAAACTCAGTGTATAAAATTCTTGCAAAGGTTTTATCTACACGATTGAGGCAAGTTCTTCCTCAGATTATCAGTGAAGCGTAATTGGGTTTTTTGAGTGGTCAATGTATTTTCAATGGAATCTTAATAGCTAATGAGGTGGTTCACTGGTGGAAGAAAACCAAGAAGAGAGGAATTGTTTTTAAATTAGATTTCGAAAAGGCATATGATTCAGTGAATTGAGGGTTTTTGTGTGCCATGATGTCTAGTTTTGGTTTTGGTGAAAAGTGGGTGGGTTGGATAAAGGTATGCATATCATCAGCAAGAGTTTTCGTGTTAGTTAATAGGTCTCCAACTTCAAAATTTTTGCCTCACAAAGGTCTGAGGCAAGGTGATCCTCTTCCCCCTTTTCTCTTCAACTTGATGGCTGAAGGTCAGAATATCTTAATGGAAAGAGCAAAAGAGATAAGTCTGATCAAAGGAGTTACGGTGGGTCATAGTCATTTGAAGGTGTCTCATCTTCAGTTTGCAGATGATACAATTATTTTTTGTGAGGCAAGCTGGGAGGAAATCCTTACTATGAAAAGAATTTTGAGATGTTTTGAAGTAATGTCTGGGCTTAAGATTAATTTTCATAAGTGTAAAGTATGTGGAATTGGTGTTGAAGATGAATTGGTACAGGCATTTGCCAAAAAGCTTAATTGTTTAACTCAGAAATTGCCTTCGAATTATCTAGGTATGCCTCTAGGTGCAAATCCCAGGTGTAAGAGAATGTGGCAGCCAATAGTTGACAAATTCAAGAAGAAACTAGCAGCCAATAGTTGACAAATTCAAGAAGAAACTAGCATTATGGAAAATGAGATGCCTATCATTTGCAAGCAGATTAACCTTGATCAAGTCTGTATTATCTGGACTGCTCGTGTATTTTCTGTCTTTATTTAAAATGCCTGTGGGCATTGCTAATCAGTTGGATAGAATTCAGTCTACTTTTCTGTGGGGTGGTGATGAGGTAAAGAGAAAAGTGCATCTTGTTAAGTGGGAGGAGGTGTGTAAAAATAAGTGTCAAGGTGGGCTTGGTGTGAGGAAGCTTAGTGAATTCAATGAGTGCTTGTTGATCAAATGGTGGTGGATATTTGGTGTAGAAGATAAGGCCTTATGGAAAAAAGTGCTGTGTAGCAAGTATGGTCAGCTTGGAGGTTGGTGGAGTCCATTGCCAATGGAGTTAGGGAGGGTTTCTGTTTTGTGGAAGGATATTTTGTTCTTAGTTGCTCGAAATCCATTTTTGAGAGCGTTCTTTTTCTCTAATTTTAAGATTGTGATTGGGAATGGGAATGGTATTAGGACAAAATTTTGGGTGGATGTGTGGTGCAATAACCAGAGCCTTTCTCTTGTTTTCTCTAGACTTTTTCCTTATCAGTTCATAAAGATAGTACAATGTTTGATTTTGTGCAAAGGAAAAATGAGGGTGATGATTGGAATCTCATGTTTAGAAGACAACTTTTTGCTTGGAAAGAGGAGGACCTATCTAACTTGTATGAGTACCTTCGAGTTGTACCTACTTTAAAGAGTAATGTGGAGGATCAATGCACTTGGCTGGCTAATCCATCTGGTGCTTTTTTTGTAGCCTCTGTGTGGGATTGGATGGCTTTGCGTAAAAGGTGTAATCTCAGATTTGCAATGAATATCTGGAAGAATATTGCACCTCCTAAGGTACAATTCATGTCATGGTTAGCTTGGAGAGGTATGATGAAGTTTGCTTCTTTTATGCAAAGGGTTGAGGTGCTCAAGTTTAATGCAAACATTTTTTGTGTTTTTTGTAAGACAGAGGTGGAGACACAAAATCATGTTTTGCTGCACTATAGTAGTATTTGGAAAGTATGGTCTAGGATTATTGATTGGTGGGGTTTGTGTTGGGCCATTCCTAAATCAGTTCAATCTCTGCTGAGTTGGTGGGTTGGTTTTAAGGTAAAAAAGAAGGTCAAGATGTTGTGGAGAATTGTTCCTATGGCTGTGTTATGGTCAATTTGGGAATTAAGAAATGCTTGTTTGTTTAATAATGCTCAACCTCATTTTGGAAGAGTTGGTGGAGGTCAGAGTGGCATTGTGGGCAAAGTCTAGTTTGAAGGATTTGCATTATTCTGTGCATGACATTATTTCAAATTTATGACAGATTTGCTATTCAGTGTAATGGGGTTGCTGCTGGTGTGTTGGCTGCAAACAGAGGTTGCTGCTGGTGGTTGGGTGTCTGGCTACGGATACTACTGTCTTGTGGCTACTGCTGTGATCCCAATTGTGCTGTGATTATTGCGGGTGATCTGTTTTGTTTACTGCTGTGGTTGAACCTGGGCTGCTAGGGGTATGTTGGGTGATTTTGGGCTGATAGCAAAGTTAGTTGATGTTGTTGATTCTCAGCTAAGGTGTTTGCTGCAATTTGATTGATCAAGAGCGCAACAGTGAGGAGACTGATCAAGCATTAGTGAAAAATGTTTTGGATATCTACACAGAGATGGGAGAGGGCTCTATGCAATACTACCAAAAGGACTGCATTTTATTCTCAAAAGGCCTCAATTTGGATTACCAGTGAATCCTACAAGGATTACATGCTTAAGGTTGAAGGATGTTTGAAGTTAGAGACATACAGAGTTTTTTTGTTACTTGCAACACACAAGCCAAGTTTGCTGGTGTATTACTTATAAGATTGCTGGTGGAGTTTTGCTCTAGGTTTGGCAGCCCTTGCTGTGTCGCTGGGAGGTTTTCATTTCTGTCTCTTGTCTAGTTTCTCTGTTTTGGATTAGCATCTCGCCAATTGGTGGGTTTAGTGCTAACAGATGATTGTGCTTCCTCCTTGGTGCCAAGCTAGTTGGGATTATGGAGTGTTGGCTATGATGTTTTTGCACTTCCCTCTTTTATTGATATTTATTGTTGCTTGTATTTGCTTATTTCATCAATAAAAGTTTCCCTTTTTCTTTGCTGATCAAAAAAATTAATCAAGAAATCTTGAGCTGTAAAATGATAATCCTTAAATCTTGGCTTCAACCAAAAAGCCACTCTGATCTTAATCAACTCACATAATTCATTCAAATTATGACATGAATATATAACATGTAAATTACAAAATAATAACATGTTCTACACAGAAGGATGCCTCACGGGGTTTACAATAACAAAAGAGAGAGTTGTTCTTACAAAACAAGACATGGGACCATAAAAAATAAGGTTCCAAGGGCAATCATAATAAAAAAGAGCATGTAAGCGAGACATCTCATCAAAGAATAATCGAGGTGGTCTGTATCCAATCATGAAAAGATTTAATAACAACAATGTGAACAATTGTCCAATAAAAAATTTCTTCCTCAAGCAATATGATTCATACTGTGGGGACATAATTTTTGAGTTGTCTACGTAGCCTAAATTGTTAGCCAAGGTTACACGTGGGTAGCGTTGATTAGCCAAGGTGTGATGTGATCACAACGAAATCCGAGATATTCAGAGAATGACTAGAGTCCTAGATAATGATAGACTCCAAGATTAGATGAATTAGGACTCTGTGAGAGGTGTATCGTAATCCAAATAGAGAGATGAGTCCAAGATAAGTGTTATCCAAGTGAAGAATAAGAATCCTATTGAAGTAAGACTTTTAGGGTGATGAGGGCACATGTTGTTATATAAAGCAGACACCTCCGTGGGTTAGAGGTATGTTTTAACTTGTGAGTTATTGTTTGAGTTGTGATCTTATTTGATTATCTAGTGAAATAAAATTACTGATTTGATCGTCAAAATATCTCCGGATGGACAAACCAATGAGTTTGTTACTTGCCTTTCCGTGTTTGTAGGTGTTGATTCCATCTAGTACACGTACTCTTCGACTTTGTTTTCGGAAGCTAGGAGAAGAAGATATTATTAATCATGTGTGGTTAGGTCAAATTTTAGCGCACACACATACAATGGATGTGATCATGATGCTAATGATATATATAATTATATAGAGCACGTTTCAATTTTCAATTTCTATTTCAAATTTAGAATTTAAGGAACACAATGTTTATTTCAAAATCACATTTCAGTTTAAGGGGTGGTTTGAGATGTTATAAATAAGTATACTTTTTGACTTTTTATGAAATATGGGTTAGGTATGGGTTGGGTTTGAAGTGATGTGGTGGCGATGTGATGTGACTTAAATAATATGATGTGACTTAAATAGAATAGTAACTTTTTAATTTTTTAAGTATATGCCAAACAAAGCCTAACTATCATTTGAAGATAATCTCTAGATTGTGTGTTTACCAGTGGTCTATAAAAGAACCACCTAACCACCACCTCTTTATCGGTTGCCAGCCGTAAAGAAATTGATCCATATTCCGGGCAAGTTTCTGATTTTTTTCCTAGTACCTCAAGCCAACTTAACATAATCTCAATTATACACTATCCATAATTCACCATTATTATTTGTGTTATTTGCAAAGTCCGTGAAGGTCTTAAGGGATGGATTAGTTCTTTCCTAATTACAATTCCCAAATGACCCTAAGAGACTCAAGAATTGCTTTTTGATCTTTGAGCTTGCTCTCCTCCACATCTTGAATTACTTTATCTTTCTTAAACACACTGAGAATTTATTCCCAGCCACCCTCCTCGCAATGAATTGTGTGATACACTAGTTCTGCCTCCTTTCTGCTCAAGTAACAACTTGTGAGCATACTTTTAGCATTTCTTTGAATTATACCAATGCAATTTGGCCACTTCATCTTAAGCAAGTGTAATCTCACAACAATGCACTGTCCAATCCAGTCTGCCAAAACATGAATGTAGTGAGCACTTTTTTTTTTTTTTAAACTCATATTTGGTCAATGTTGGGCAATAGGCATCCTTTGAACTTTGAAGGGATTGATTGATTGATTATACCATATATCAGAATGATACAATTTGAAGCTTAAATGTTACTTTGATAGTCTTTCCTTGTTTGTCTCCATTCATTTGATGGAATAATTGAGTTTGTAATTTTATGGACAATGAGATAGCCTAACAAAGATGACGGATACTTCTGGCAAACGAGAGAAGGTTCCATCCCATATTCATGAAGAGAATGTAGCAAAGCATTCCACACTCATGCATGAACTTTTGTCTTTTAAGCAAGCTACCAAGCATCTCGAGCGGGAGATCGCAGTAGAAGCTTCAAAAAATGATAATTGAACCTCAAACTTCTATATATAATTCATGGGGCTAAGTAAGTAACATTGCAAAGCGGTTGAAAATTGTATTCATGGTGATTGAAGTTTTTGTCAGTCATTAAATGTGGAGACAATTGTTCTAATTTTTATCCACAAAAATATTAGAGATTTCAAAAATTCTACTAAATGTTTCACATAGGTGTGGGACCCACATTGTGTGGATTTCACATCCATGTGAGACATTTGATACAACTTTTGATAGAATTTTTAGAATCTCTAACGTTATTCTTTTTTTAGAATAGTGATTTTGTAATGCTTCAAATTTCCTCATAAATATGAACTATAGTCGATACAAATTCTCTTACCGGACATAATATAGAAATAGTCTTGCTAAACATACTTGTGGACATGCTCAATTCTACTTGGACATTTCACATATGCAAAGATAAATAAACAATTTGCTTTGATATCTGTAGGGATGTGAGCATTATGAAGAACTTATTGCACTGTTATCTTCTTCCCAACACCATTTTACCCAAACCCATCCTACTTTTGTTGCAATTTATATCTTTCTAGAATGTAGTTAACTGTTCAGTAATGTTTGGTTCATTGTAATGAAACGAAATGAAATGATCATTCTCTTAAAATATTCATTCTTATTTTTTGTTGAATAAAAAAAATAAAATTACATTGTAAATGGAATTGTTATTCACCACTGTAAAGAAATGATGATTCTATCTAAAAACCTAATGAATGATCATTCCATTCAATTCTATTCCATCTCATTCTAATTAACCAAATAAAGCATAATAAGTATGCTCTTATTCCAAAAACATATAGTGCTCTTGTACCTTGTAGGAATTTGACCAATCTTGATACCACCTCTATTGCAAAGGTTAGAGCATCTCCAATGCACTAGGCATATAATACTTGTTAGTTAAAATACCTAGTGTGATTCACTTTTTTCAATTCCAATGCACTAGGAATATAATTAGGCATTTTGGCTCAACTCATATTCACTAGCTACATGTACCTAGCCTTCAACGCTAGGCAAAATGTATTCAATCATTAGGATCATTTCCCTCCATTTTTATTGTTGACGTGGCATTCTATAAAATTAATAGTATTTAGATAAATAGCTAAAATAAAGAGCATGGTTGGAGTAAAAACATAAAACAGTTGATAGGCAAAATAAAATATATACTTTATAGTAATATTTAGATAGGTAAAATGCCTACTACCGTTGGAGATGCTCTCAAGATTGTTTGAGTTAAAATTTGTCTTTGAATTATTGTCCCAATGTAGTCTTAGTTTTACATTTTGAGATTCTCACGTCAGCAATCGAAACAAGTGTTTTTAAATTCTTTTATCTTAATACAATACTACAACGGTGACTGAATGAAAATTTATAATCCTAATAACTTGCAATGATTACATAAAGTTAATTTTTAAATTTATGTATCATTATATATATATATATATATATATTATAAATAACAAGCTTCACTTGACCAAGAAAACTACGAAACTGGAGGCTTGCTTGACCAATAATTGGAACTTCTCACCCAAATATGGAAAAGTTTATTTAACTGTACCTTTATGACAAAATCTTGTTTGTATTTATAACTACTTTTACAATTTTACACATATGCACATGCAGCCAATATCTATTGCAAACAGAACGCTTATGATGATGATAGATACTACCCCATCGCACACATCTCTTTGATGTTTTTTTCCATTGCTTCTTATTTTCACTCATAAGAATTATTCATAATAGATATACTTTTAATTTCCGTACTTACATCAAAAAATTTAAAGTACGATTTAGGAAAAATCTCACTAGGACTAAAATACGCAAGAGCAACTCAAATATTTTAAATAGAAAAGCTCCAGAGTGCCACGTCAGCACCAACTGCCACGTCATCATCCTGGTACCATTCTCCTCCAGCAGAGTGAGGTGGAGGTGGAGGTGGTGGTGGTGGTAGGAGCAACCCTTCTGCCATGTTAGCAAGCAATCTCGGCATCCCGAAAACCGCTTCCTCGTCCATGTAGAAAATTTCCTCCGGCCTTGCCGTCACGACGGCCTCCTCCTCTGGCTTTGCCACGTCACCAGAAACATCGTCGAACTCCTCC